TAACAAAATAAAAAAAAACAAGGGGAACTACATCAAACTGAAAAGCTTCTGCACAGCAAAAGAAATGATCAACAAAATGAAATTGCAACCTACAGAATGGGAAAAAGTAGTTGCAAACCATATAGCTGATAAGGGGTTAATATTTAAAATATGTCCAGAAATCATACAACTCAATAATAAAAAACTCCACAAATAATCCAATTAAAAAATGGGCAAAGGACTTGAAGATATTTTCCAAAGACGATAGACTACAAATGGCTAACAGGTACATGAAAAGGTGCTCGACATCACTAATCATCAGGGAAATGCACATTAAAACCACAATGAGAAATCACCTCATGCCTGTTTGAATGGCTATCATCAGAAAGCAAGAGATAATAAATGATGGAGAGGATGTGGAGAAAAGGGAACACTTGCGCACTATTAGTGGGATTGTACATTGGTAAAACCACTATGGAAAACAGTTTAGAGGTTCCTCAAAAAATTTAAAATACAACTATCATATAATCCAGTAATTCCACTTCTGTGGATATATCCAAAGGAAATGAAAATACCACATCCAAGAGATATCTGCAACCCCATTTTCATGGCAACATTATTTACAATAGCCAAGACATGGAAACAACCTAAGTGTCCATCAATGGATGAATGGATGAAGATGTTGTGGTATCACTGGAATATTATTCAGCCACAAAAAGGAAATCCTGCCATTCACAACATGGATAGAACTTGAGGGCATTATGCTAAGTGAAGTAAGTCAGACAGAGAAAGACAAATACTGTATGATCTTACTCATACTTAAAAAAAAAATCTTTTAATTTCAAAAAATGCATAGCAAAACAGAAGGAAGGTGGTCAAAAGGTACAAACTTCCAGTTATAAAATAAAAAAGAACTAGAAATGTAATATACAACATGATAACTACACGTAACTGTTGTATGGTATATTTGAAAGTTGTTAAGAGAGTAGATCCTAAGAATTTTCAATACCAGGAAAAAAGCTTTTCTTTTTTATATCACAATGAGATGATGGATATTAAATAAACTTACTGTGGTAATAATTTCACAATATATGCAAAGCAAATCATTATGCTCTATATCTTAAACTTACACAGTGCTGTATGTCAATTATATCTCAATAAAACTGGGGAAAAAGATATCAAGATAGCAAATAAGCATACGAGGATGCTCAGTATCATTCATTGGTCATTAGGAATATGTAAAGCAACCACAATAAGGGGCGCCTGGGTGGTTCAGTTGGTTAAGTGACTGCCTTCAGCTCAGGTCATGATCCTGGAGTCCTGGGATCGAGTCCCACGTCGAGCCCGCTTCTCCCTCTGACTCTCCTCCCTCTCATGCTCTCTCTCATTCTCTCTCTCAAATAAATAAATAAAATCTTAAAAAAAAAAAAGTAACCACAATAAGATACAATTAGTCACCCACTGGCACAGTGAAATGTAAAAGCCTGACTATATCAAACGCTGGTGAAGATATGGTACAGCTAAAACTTTCAAATGCTGCTGTGGGGAATATAAATTGTTAGAGCCATTTTGGAAAACAGGCAGTTGAATGTACATCTATAATAAAACTCAGAATTTAAATCTAGGTATTTACCCAAGAGAAATGAAAACAGATGTCTACACAAAGACTTATATGTGAATGTGCACTGCAGCTTTATTTGTAATAGCGATCACTGGAAACAACCCTAAGTCCATCAATAAGGTGGCATTGTTTGGTATATTTATACCAAGTGGAAAATTATTAAAAGTGAACTACTGTCACATGCAGCAATGGGATGAACTTCAAGATGTTCTAAAATAACTCAAGCTTCTTTCCCAACCTATTCCAGGGAATGGCACGATCTATCTGGTTCTGAAAATTAAAAATCAAAATGTCCTCTTGAAAGCTTCCCTTTCCCACAATCCCATATCCAGTCCATCACCATGTCCTAGTGATTTTTCTCTCTTCAGTGTATTTTGATACTTGGTTTCTCTCCATTTTTACCACTATCAGTTTAGGCCAAGCTACCTCATCATCTCTCACACCGCTATTCTTAACCAGCATCCATTCTTGCCTCCCTCCAATGAATTCTCCACACAACAAACAAAAACACTTTCTAGGTGCTCATATGATCATAGCATGGTCTCCCCCAACCTTGTTCAAAATAACCATGCAGTGGCTTTGTACTACTCTTTGGATAAAAGCCAAAATATTTAACACAGCCTATAGGATCTAGATGGTTTGGCCTCTACCACCTATGTTTGAGGCTCATTTGACAATACTCCCTTCACTTCCATCCCTGACTTTCATGACCTTGTCTTTTTTCCTGCCACAGAGCCATTTTTTACATAGGATTCCTTTTGTCCATAATCTCTTCCTAGCATATAACTTGTTAATATTATTCAGATCTTAGCTTAGAATTATTTTTAAAAAAGCATTCCTTGACCTGGTTACCTGCTCAAAGCACAGCTGCACCTCAGTTTTACTTGATGAATTGTCTAAATAACACACAGCTTCTCCACTACAAAATGCATGATTACACAGACCACATTTATTTTTTTATCACCTTTACACCTCCAGCCTCTAGTAAAGATCTAGCAGGTACCTAGAAGGTCCTCGTAAATATTTCTAAATGAATGAAGAATTAGAAATTATCTGTTCCTAAATGAAGTAACATGGGCTTGGTGACATATTTTAAATGGACTACAAGCAAACCATCTAATCAAATCCTCTGTTTTTAAGAAGCATTCCAATTAAAGCATCACATAGTTGTCTTTCCACATTCCTTCCTGCAGTGTGTTTCAGAGGCAATTACTACATTCAAGGCACTGAGACACAGCAGTGAATGAGACAGAGTCCCCGCACTCAGGCAGCATCTGGTTTAACTTGACTGACTTTTCATTTCAAAAGTTACTCTAAGGGCAGATTACATGTTTCCTAACGTCTGTGGAGAATACATCATTTTTTAAAATAAATCTTTAACTTTCTGATCACTATGAGGCAATCTTGTTCTATTTTATGGAAGACTTAGTATTAAACATACAGACCTGAATAATTTTAATTATCTACCTAATTATATGTCTAATCAGAATGAGAAGCAAGGTACAAAGAATTAAAATGGAAAAAAGTATACCTCCTCACAAAAAACTTATATACAGACTAGACTACAAGGAAAAACTTAACCACATATGGCCAAAACATCCTTCAAAGACAAAAGTTAGAAATGAAGCAAAATAATTGAAAAATTAAAAACTTAAGACTCATACATATTTTTTCAGAAATTTGACAAAGTTACATCTTAGAACTCTGATCTCAAAATGTCTACTTGATAGCAAATAGTTACACAAAATGTTCTCCCACTATGTTTAAACTGATCATCCATAATATAGACTTGGGATCAGAAATTTGTCTTCAACATATTTGTTTTTACAGTGTTGATGGTTTTAAACTATATAATGAGGACTTGGTATGTCAATTTGCAAAATGGCTGATTAGGATTACTGTTGTCATGGAAACAAGTTTTTCCTTCTACTTCTCTAATGTGTGTGCTAAAACAGAGATCACATCTACAACCAAGAATTAGCAAATCCTGACATATACACGGTTATTCCATTTTATTTTCTTCAAAATCCCTTCAGAGTGAACCAAATTGGAAATAATATTCCAATAGCATGCTAATTATTGGCAAGCTGTAAAGATGACTTCCTAACTTGTTCATTTAATAACTTCTATTCTAAATCCCCATCATCATACCATCATTGATGTCTCTTGAACATGAACAGTCTGATCACACAGCATAAACTCTCTCACAGAAAAGATCTTAAAACTCTGTAGTCTCTGTAACATATCTGCCTTTGTTAAACGTGTTGGAGGATTTATCAAGTTCAGTTTAGTTCTATGTCCTATTAAGTGTTATTAGTTTAATCCAAAATGTATCATCTGTGTATGTAATGAAGGTAGCTCCTAACTTCATCATCCGAGCCACTGTTAAATTATTCAATATTGTCCTAAGGGAGAGATTCCAATGGAGCATCACTTTTAGGTTGACATAGAACCAAAAACTAATAGCCAAAATGTATAGAGTATACAAAAGGTTTTCACACACAATGATACTTGAGCCTTCATTTATTCAACAGATATTTCAGGAATTGAGTGCTAATTCTATGCCAATCATTGGTTAGATACTGGGATACAAGAGTGATCCTTACAACTCTATAACAGTGATTATCAAAATGTCATCTCAGAACCAGTGGCTTCAGCATCACCCAGGGAACTGCTATTAAAACAAGTAAAAACAGGTCTCACCCCAGATCTACTAAATCTGAAACTCTGGGGGTGGGGCCCAGCAATCTATGTTTTAACAAGTCTTCCAGGTAATTCTGATACATGCTCAAGTTTGAGAACCACTGCCCTGTAAAGTAGCCCTTTGCATTTATATTAGAAAAGTGGGGCTAAGGGGCGCCTGGGTGGCTCAGTCGTTCAGCGTCTGCCTTCGGCTCAGGTCATGATCCCAGGGTCCTGGGATCGAGCCCCGCATCGGGCTCCCTGCTCTGCAGGAAGCCTGCTTCTCCCTCTCCTGCTCCCCCTGCTTGTGTCCCCTTCTCTTGCTGTGTCTCTCTGTCAAATACACAAATAAAATCTTAAAAAAAAAAAAAAAAAGAAAAGTGGGGCTCAGAGAAGGAAACAGACTTGAGATACCAAAGAGGCTTTTTCCTACCACTTATCCCCAGAGATTAGAAAAATGTCTGGCACATAATATAGGCACACAATAAAGATTTGTTGGATGAAAAAATGACTGAATCCTCCCAATTATGGCAATAGCCCAGGCAATATAATCCTAACTTCTTGAAGATATACATATCAATAATGAACACACTTCTTCTGAAAAGAGAAATGTTAACCATGACATCAAGAATTATAACTTAAAAACTAATTATTTTTGACTCTTGTATAAAAGAAGTTACTAAAGGTGACCACTTTCAAAACTTCAATTTTTCCATACCTTGTTATTTTGCCTTGATTTACTTAACTCCAGTTTATACTTTTCTGCCTCTTCTAGAGCTCTATTCAACCGAACTTCTGTAGCACTTTGGTTACTGGCAGCCTGTTTTTGTAGTCTTCTTTTATTTTCTAATTCCTATATGGTAAAAGATAATATGGAACATTTATAAATATATCATTAGTTCCCTCTATTATTCTGTAACATTTTCCATTTCCATATTCCTTGCTTTCTCCCAAATTTTACATACACAAACCCCCCCCCCGCCAAAGTTTGGGGGCCGAGCACCGAGTGACAGAGGGCTTAGAGAATTCTTACCCTGAATTGGTATTAGAAAGATATATCCTTAAAGATGTAGTCATGAATTAGGCTTTCAAATTACTTTTTGTTTGGAATTTTCTATCTCTTTTTATATAGTATAGAGGTCCTCTATACTTATTTTATAAGCAACTCTTTGTCACTATAGTTCTTCCTTTGGGAACCTCCCCAAAACAGTTATGTAAGTCACAAACGCTCATAAATACTGTGTTTGTATAAACCTAACAAAGTATATCATATAAGAAATATTTGTTAAGAACAGAGCATTCTACATTAGCCTTACAGGGAAAGTCCCAACTCTTAGCAAAAACAACAGATCTTATGGATTCAGGTTCTACATCTTGGGGTAGGTTCAGACTTGCATTTCTGCAAATATTCTAAGAGATGCTGTTGCAGAGAGTCTACAGAAGAAACATGAACATGTAGGATAAACTCCAAACTCTACCATAACCTGGCACTATAATCTCATCTCCTGCAAGATATTACCTTCAGATATATCTCCCAAACAGCTATGATGTTTCTTGCCTCTGAACGTTTGCTCATCTCATGCTCTTCCTTCTGCCCTGATCCCTCCCCACTGCTCATTTTTACGTAGCCAGCACCTATCCATCCTTTAAGACTCAAACGAGGAGTGTACATGAGGGTTTTACCTCCTCCAAGAAGCCTCCCCTCATTATCTTCCTCATTCTCCTCCCAGGCTGGATTAGGTACCCTTTCTTCAGAGCTTCTACAACACGTTGACACACATATAGCATATGTGTGCTGTGCAGAACTGAAACTATCCATTTACTTCATTTTCCCCACACTTAATGTAAGCTCATTGAGGATAGAAATAGTCTTAATTTCTGTATTCCCGGAACTTTAGTGGCACAGAAGAGGCACTAACGACATGTTTCTTCAACTGAATTTATTTTGTAATATTTAACTCACTCTTCTTTGCATCCCCTACAATACCTAGTACAGAGCCTTATATACAACAGATATTCAATAAATATCATGGAATTAAAATGATGCAGTTAAAAATACAGTTGTCTGTTTTCTTCTTCTATAAGCTTTTTTCTCCTGGCTGTATCACTGTGTTGTATTTGAAAACTGATCTCCCTGACCCTAAGTAATTAAGGGCAAAACAAAACACAACAAAACACATGCTGCTCTTTATGTGGGTTTTTAAACAAACCAAACTGTATGAGTACCATCTGCTATCACCAGCCTTCTTCACAGCTTTGTGGGTGGTAGCTACAGTAAGAGCAAGCTTGATTTATCTCACTGTTCACATGGAAAAGGCAGAAATTTTCCTTAGCTACAAAGTCCACAATTCTAGTTGCCTCATTTCAGCCTCCACCTATAAGAATATGAAAATAAATCTTTGCCCTTCTCTTTCCTGCTGGTAACTTTGTAACCTACTTCACAGAAAAATGAAAACCATCCAATACCACATTATGTTCCTCTACCCATGAATCAATATGGCCCCCTTCTTGGGAGAAGTGAAAAACAAAAAACATTAGAAAAGTAATATACAAAATAAAGTATTCCTATATGAGCAAATCCACTAAGGAAAGGAAAAACCTTACCAAAAACTTGAAAACATTTCTGTTTTCAATCACACTCAAGTACTTTTTACAAAGTGCAGACAAGATACCAATATTTTTTATGAGAGAGCTTATAAGCTGAAAATAATAAAGTTAAAATACTGTTACCAAAAAAAAAATTAAGCAGTTTACATGTTAGAGAAAAATTTTAGGGTAGATTTCAAACCTTGAATTTTACATTAGCTTTAAAAGAAAAATCTAGATAGCTTAAAGGAATTAAAATCTCACTTTAAAACTCAATTACTATGAGCTCCAATGAGAAATAATTTGCCATCCTCTCTTAACTTTTAAAGCATTCCTAAGGAACTGGGAGAAGGCAAGAATAGAGAGAGCTATGTATTAGTAGCCACAGCACTGACAAAATGGTAGCAAATGCTTTAAGAGTAACATAAATTGCCACAGTAAGTCAGAAGAGGAGTAATGAGATGAGGGCAAATAAATGATAAGGTTCTAGAAACAAGTGGCTAAGGTACAAAAAGCAATAAACTTGGAGTCAGAGAATCTACGAGCTGTGGTAGTCTGTTTCCATATCTGAAATTGGTAGTAATGATATCTATGCCTAGTTATGTGTTGATATTTATTGAGCACTTACTATGTGCCAGGTACTACTCTACATGAATGATGGGCACACAAAATTAATATATACAATGGATAGTTAAGTAGTACACCATGAAACCTAAGCTGGGGGAGAAGGGAATAAAAAACTGGGGGGAGGTGCAGATCTATAGAATAAAAACACATGACTACACACAACTATCATATGTATGTGATAACAATTTGTAAACTATATACTATTAAACAAAGGTAAGGACCATTAATATCATGGCTTTGCAGGATACATATAGGCAAAAATTTAAAAGCTTTCTTTGCAAGATAAGGATGTGAAAAAATTAAGAAAATGCTTTTGAGGAGTTTTGCTATAGAAACAAAAAAGAACAAAAACATCTTTAGGAAATGATACAAACCTCAATTTTAGCTAGAGTGAAAGATAAAAAGAGAGCAGACTTTTTTTTTTAAATGAGTTACTAATATTAATAAGCATGTTTGCGTGACATAATCCATGGTCAGAGAAACTTGTGAAGTGTACCTACTGACTTTAATTTGACCAAAAAAAACAAAACAGAGATTAAGGCTTCCACCCTTGACGAAACAATAAGAACCTAACATAAAAACACACTGTAAACTAAAAAAAAATGTTAAATAACTATTTAGAGATAAAGGAAAACGGTAGGATTATGACTACTGAGAGAAGAGAAATAAATGGGGTAGTCCTGCAATCACCCCAGCATTCTGCCTGGAGGCAATATCCACACTGTGGGTATAAGGAGGAGAAAATACAAACAGAACCAAGGTCTGCTGAGCTGAGGAGACAGAGATGGAAGTTGGAGGAGACTGAAGCAGCTGGAATTTCTGAGAAGGGTTCAAAAGAGGAGGAACTCCATTAGGAGGGAACTTCAGAAATCTACACAGGATATCTTTTGAATATACTGAGGACTAGGCCACACCTAGTGGCTACTCTAGACCAACCCCGGCCAAACTTAAAAACAGGCCTTAAAGGTACTAAACTGACAAATAACTACTTGTGTTTAAAGAGTACATTAAATACAGATACTCAACAATATAATATTCACAATGTCTAGCATCCAGTATAAAATCACTAACTAAACAAAGAAGCAGGAAAATGTGATTGATATCCAGAAGAAAGATTCAATAGAAACAATCCATAAATGAGAAATATGATGGATATAGCAGACAAGACTGTTAAAACAGCTATTTTAATTATATATGTTAATATAATGAGGACATAAATTCAGAATATAAAAAAATCAAATGGAACTTCTACAGATGAATAATATATCAAAATGAACATTTCACTTGGTTAAAAGCGTATTAGACACTGCAAAGAAAAGATCAGTGAACTAATGAAGATAGCAATAGAATCTATCCAAATAAAAAATATAGGTGAAAAAAGGCTAAAAACATCAGTGACCTAATATCACTGATGCATTATCAGTGGGATAATATCAAGTGGCCTAACAAAAGTATAATTGAAGTTACAGGTTGGGGGAGGGAGAGAAGGGGCACAGAAAAAATGCTGGAAGAAATAATAGCCAAACTTTTACAAATTTGATGAACACTATAAACCCACAGATTCAAAAAGGTCAACAAACTTCAAGCCAAATAAACACTCCCCACACAAAACATATCATTATGAAATTACTGAAAACCAGTAACAAAGAGAATGCCTTAAGAGCAAAGATAAAAGATACAAATGTACAAGGGTAGAAAGAAAAGAATTAGTGTGAACTTTTTGTCAGAAATAACATAACCCAGAGGACAATGGGATGATATCTTCAAAGTACTAAAAGAAGACAGAAACTGGGGCGCCTGGGTGGCTCAGTTGGTTAAGTGGCTGCCTTCAGCTCAGGTCCTGATCCCAGGGTACTGGGATCGAGCCCCGCATCGGGCTCCCTGCTCAGCGGGAAGCCTGCTTCTCCCTCTCCCACTCCCCCTGCTTGTGTACCCTCTCATGCTGTCTCTCTCTCTGTGTCAATTAAATAAATAAATAAATAATCTTAAAAAAAAAAAAGACAGAAACTTTCAATTGGTAATTCTCTAACTAGTGAAAATATCCTTCAAAAATTTAAGAGGGTCCAAACACACACAAGTGCATACAGAACTGGTGAAATCTGAGTAATGCCTGTGGATTATACCAATGTCAATTTCCAGGTTTTAATACTGTCCTATTATTATGTTAGATGCTCTTAATGAGGGATACTGAGTGAAGGGTCCACAGGACCTCTATCATTTTTGCAGCTTCCTGTGAATCTGTAATTTTCAAAATAAAAAAAAATTAAGTAAGGAAAAACACAGTCTTTTTTCAAAGAAACAAAAACAAGGAATCAGTGACTAGCAAACTGGCACCACAAAGATTGAAAGGGTAGTTATTTCAAGCAGGCATATAGAAAAACAGATTGAAAGAATGAAGAATACAAGAAATAGCAAATATAAAAGGCATTTTCATATGTTAAGCTCTTTAAAATATAACTATTTAAAGAAACACTGTGGGATTTATGACATTTAAAAGTAAAAGCATAAAGGAAAGGGGCAGAAATAGAATATACTGTTGTGAGGATCTTATATGTGAAAGAATATAACATGATTTGAAAGTAGACTGTGGTATGGTAAATATGTTTTTTTGTGTTTTATATAATGTAATTTATGCATATA